TCACGCCCTTCATAGGCGACACCCGAAGCAACACCCGCTCTCCGACCATGAATGCCACATCACGAACCTTACAGTCGGCATAACTCTTTTGCCTGGACAGAGCTGTACGAAGCCTATCCTAAATGAGCTTAACCTTGTCCAAGGTATCCTGTACTAGATCCGTACCCAACAACCGAGCCTCTCCCGGCTCAAACCACCCAACTGGCGGTCGACACTGTCTACCATATAATGCCTCATAGGGGGCCATCTGAATGCTCGATTGGTAACAGTTGTTGTAGGCAAACTCTGCTAATGGCAAGAACTGATCCCACGAACCTCCAAAGTCAATAACATGCTCGGAGCATATCCTCCAAAATCTGAATAGTACGCTCGGACTGTCCGTCTGTCTGGGGATGAAATGATGTGTGCAACTCGACCCGTGTTCCCAACTCACATTGAACTACCCTCCAAAATGTCAGGTAAACTGCGTACCTCGGTCAGAAATGATAGACACGGCCACACCATGAAGACGAACAATCTCCCGAATATAGATCTCAGCTAACCTCTCTGAAGAATAGGAGACTGCCATAGGAATGAAATGCGCTGACTTGGTCAGCCTATCAACAATAACCCACACTGCATCGAACTTCCTCTGAGTCCGTAGGAGTCCAACAACGAAGTCCATAGTGATACGCTCCCACTTCTACTCAGGAATCTCAATCCTCTAAAACAAACCACCAAGTCTCTGATACTCGTACTTTACCTGCTGACAATTCAAACACTGAGCTACATACGCAACAATATCTTTCTTCATCCACTTGCACAAATAATGCTACTGCAAGTCCTGATACATCTTAGCGGTGCCCGGATGAATAGAATACTGGGAACTATGGGCCTCCTCTAGAATCAACTCTCGAAGCCCATCCACATTAGGCACACATACTCGACTCTACATCCTCAAAACTCCATCATCCCCAACTGTAACCTTCTTGGCACCACCGTGCCGCACCATGTCTCTAAGGACATACAAATGAGGATCATCATACTGCCGATCTCTGATACGCTCAAATAATGAAGAACGAGCGACTGTGCAAGCTAGCACACAGTTGGGCTCAGAAACATCCAACCTCATGAACTGATTGGCTAAAGCCTGAACATCCCAAGCAAGCAGTCTCTCACTAACCGGAACTTACGCAAGACTGCCCATCCTGACTGACTTCCTACTCAAAGCATCGGCCAAGCCTTCCCCGGATGATAAAGATGGTGATATCATAGTCTTTCAAAAGCTCCAACCACCTTCTCTGCCTCAAATTAGCTCCTTCTGCTTGAACAAGTACTGTAAACTCTTATGATCCATGAACACCTCACATGACACGCCATATAAGTAATGCCTCCAAATCTTCAGCACGTGGTCAATGGCTGCTAGCTCTAAATCATGAATTGGATAATTCTTCTCGTGAATCTTCAACTGCCGCGAAGCATATGCTATAACCTTGCCATTCTGCATCAACACCGCACCGAGTCCAATACGAGATGCGTCACAATACACTGTATATAAGGCCCTGAACCCGTAGGTAATACCAACACCGGCGTCATAGTCAAAGCTATTTCAGCTTCTGAAAGCTCGCCTCACACTCACCCGACCACCTGAATTGGGCACCCTTCTAGGTTAACCTGGTCATCGGTGCTGCAATAGATGAAAACCCCTCCACAAACCGACGGTAATAACCCGCCAAACCCAAGAAACTTCGGATCTCTATAGCTAATGCGGGTCTAGGCCAGTCATTGACTGCCTCTATCTTCTTCGGATCCACCTGAATACCCTTTGCTGATACAACGTGACCCAAGAATGCAACTGAACTCAACCACAACTCACATTTCGAGAACTTAGCATATAATTGACTGTCCCTCAAAGTCTGGAGAATGACTCAAAGATGCTGCTCATGCTCCTCTCGGCTGCGGGAATAGATCAAAATATCATCAATGAAGACTATCACGAAGGAATCCAAGTAAGGCCTAAACACTCGGTTCATCAGATCCATGAATGCTACTGGGGCATTTGTCAACCCAAATGACATCACTAAAAACTCATAATGCCCGTACCGAGTGAGAAAAGTTGTCTTAGGGACATCGGATTCCCTAATCCTCAACCGATGGTAGCCAGATCTCAAATCAATCTTAAAAAACACTTGGGCACCCTGAAGTTGGTCAAACAAATCATCAATCCTCGATAACGGATACTTATTCTTGATTGTGACCTTGTTCAACTACCGATAATCAATACACATCCTCATCGATCCGTCCTTCTTCTTCACAAACAACATCGGCGCACCCCAGGGCGAGACACTAGGCCTAATGAAGCCCTTATCAAGCAAGTCTTGCAGCTGCTCCTTCAATTCTTTCAACTCTAGCGGAGCCATGCGATATGGAGGAATAGAAATGGGCTGGGTGCCCGGAGCCAAATCAATGCAAAAGTCAATATCCCTATCGGGTGGCATACCTGGCAGGTCTGAAGGAAATACCTCAGGACACTCACGAACAACAGGCACAGAATCCATAGAAGAAACCTCAGCACTAGAATCACGAACATATGCCAAATAGGCCAAACATCCCTTCTCAACCATAAGCCGAGCCTTCATATATGAGATAACCCTACGGGTGGAATGACCAGGAGTCCCTCTCCACTCTAAACGAGGTAAAACCCGGCAAGGCTAAGGTCACAGTATTGGCATGACAGTCCAAGATAGCGTGGTAAGGTGATAACCAGTCCATCCCCAATATGAGATCAAAATCAACCATACCCAAAAGTAACAGATCTACTCGGGTCTCAAGACCCCCAATCATAACTATACATGAACGATTGACAGGATCCACCACACTAGAATCACCCACCGGTGTAGACACATATACAGGAGCACTCAAAGAATCACTAGGCATGACCAAATACGGGGCAAAATAAGATGACACATAGGAGTATTTAGACCCTGGATCAAATAGAATTTAAGCATCTCTACTACAAACCAGAACAGTACCTGTGATAACTGCATCGGAGGACTCAGCCTCGGATCTGGTTGGAAGAGCATAACATCGGGGTTGGGCCCCACGACTCTGGACTACATCTCTGGGACGGCCTCCTGCTGGCTGGCCTCCACCTCTAGCGGCCTTACCTCCACCCCTAATACCTCTACCTCCACCTCTAGCATCTCTATCTCCAACTCTAGCTGGTTGAGCTGGCGGTGGAACACCCGGTGCCTGAACCATGGCACGGGAACCTTGATGTTGCGACTGAACACCCACTAATCTCGGACAAGCCCTCCGGATATAACCATACTCACCGCACTCAAAGCATCCACCTGAGTGCTGCGGCTGAGGAAATTGAGACTGAACCTGGCGGGCCAGCTGCCATGATGATAGCTCTGAAGAGAAGGTGCTTTGATAGGAGCTGGCTATCCTGAAGGAGGCACATAAGAACCACGCCCACCTACAGCACCGTGAGAAGCCTGTAGTTCTGAATGAAACGGCCTAGAAGGATGGCCTCTACCAAAAGAATCCCTTCCTCCACACGAGGCACCACTGAACCTGCCAGAATGACGGGGACTCTTGTCAGACCCCTGACCACTCCCCTGTGATAAAACCATCTCGACTCTCATGGCCACATTGGCCGCATCCTGAAAAGAAATATCACTCCTCATCTCCTTAGCCATCTGCAATCAAATAGGCTGAACGAGTCCCTCAATGAACCTCCTCTCTCTCTCTCTCTCTCTCTCTCTCTCTCTCTCTCTCTCTCTCTCTCTCTCTCTCTCGGCGAAAAGTATCAGAAGAGCATGATGGGCTAAGTCAATAAATCTGGTCTCGTACTAAGTGACGGTCATAGAACCCTACAGGAGACGCTCAAACTGCCTCCGATAGTTCTCCCTCTGAGTGACGGGAAGAAACTTCTCCAGAAATAGCTGAAAAAACTTATCCCAAGTCAAAGCAGGTGACCCAGTTGGTCTAGCCAAACAATAATCCCTCCACCAAGTCTTGGCGGATCCAAACAGACAAAAAGCAGCAAAGTCAACCCCATTGGTCTCCACTATCCCCATATTCCTTTGAACCTCATGACAGCTGTCCAAATATTCCTAGGGATCCTCAGAAGATGTACTGCTAAAAGTGGTAGTAAAAAGCTTGGTGAACCTGTCCAACCTCCACAAGGCATCAGCAAACATAGCTTGCCCCTTACCGGCCTGTGCCACATCACCCGGCTGAACTACCCCAACTGGCTGAGCTGCTGGAGTTTGAAACTGAGGAGCCATCTGCTCCAAAGTACGAGTAGCGGGAGTCTGTGCTCCTCCCCCAGCCTGAGAGACAACTGGTGCTACAGGAAGTAAGCCTGCCTGGGCGACACTCTCCATAAGGCCCACTAGACGGACCAGAGCATCCTGAAGTACCGGGGCAGCAATGAACCCCTCTTGGACCTGAGCTGGTCCTGCTGGAACTGACTGGACTGGAACCTCGTCGTCAAACTCGACCTGAGGCTCCGCCGCTGGTGCTGCTGCTCGATCTTTGGGATGAGCTCTACCTCTACCTCGGTCCCTAGCACGGCCTCGACCTCGGCCTCTCGCTGGAGCTACTAAAGGGGGCTCGGGCTGTTGGTCAACTGATGAAGCGGTACGCTTTCTCACCGTCTCGAAAGAACAGAGTGGAAGTTCAATTAGCATTGAGAAATCAAGTCACACGACAGGAAAGAATAGATGTGAAGTTTTCCTAAACTCCGCAGCCTCTTGGGATAAACACAGACGTCTCCGTACCGATCCCTCAGACTCTACTAAGCTCGTCCGTGAATTGTGAGACCTAAGCAACCTAGAGCTTTGATACCAACTTGTCACGACCTGGATTTTCCACCCTCGGGAGTCGTGATGGCGCCTACTCGTGAAAGCTAGGTAAGCCGGGTTTTACAGATTTTATTACCCTTTTTACTTAACCATTTAACAATTACGAGTTAACATATGATCAACAGCGGAATAAAAATGAGGAAGACAAAATTTAATAGTTTAACTTAATGCGAATACGATTCCATAACAACACTCCACCCAGAACTGGTGTCACAATCTCACGGACTATCTAAGAATACTACAAAAAGGGTCTAAACGAAGAAAATTCCATGTCTGTCTCTAAAATAAGTAAGAACAAAAGGAAATAGAATAGAAGGGGTCGCCAAGGCCTGCGGACGTCTGCATGACTACCTCGGTTCTCCGCTGGACTGAAGGCAGCAACCTCACTATGGTCCAAATGCTCCAAAACCGGGATCTGCACACAGTGCAGAGTGTAGTATCAGCACAACCGACCCCATGTGCTGGTAAGTGTCGAGCCTAACCTCGGCGAAGTAGTGACGAGGCTAGGACAAGACTAGAAAACAAACCTGTGCAGTTAAATCATATACGGCAAATAATAACAACAGAAACTAGCAGTTAAAGATGGGAAGGGGAACATGCTGCGGGGAATATCAAGTACTAACAGAATTTCAATAGAGAAGCATAAAGAACACCATAATTTCACATCAGCAAGAATAAGGAAAACAGCAACAAGTGCACGGCATCACCCTTCGTGTTTTTACTCTCGTTCTCACCACAAGAATCAATATTCACTTTTATTCTTTATTGTTGTGGCGTGCAACCCGATCCCAATCATATAATACTGTTGCGGCGTGCAACCCGATCCCAATCATATAATGATGTTGCAGCGTGCAACCCGATCCCAATCATATAATACTGTTGCGGCGTGCAACCCGATCCCAATCATATAATGATGTTACAGCGTGCAACTCGATCCCAATCATATAATACTGTTGTGGCGTGCAACTCGATCCCATATAATATTGTTGCAGCGTGCAACCTGATCCCATATAATATTGTTGCGGCGTGCAACCCGATCCTATATAATATTATTGCGGCGTGCAACCCGATCCCAATATACAAATCAACACCAATCACAAAAGAATTCCGGCAGGAACAATAGTATAATAATAATATCCCGGCAAGGGAAACAATATCATAAGCAATAACATTCCGGCAAAGGAAATAATATTATAAACAATAACATCCCGGCAAGGGAAATAATATCACAAACAATAACATCCCTGCAAGGGAAACAACAGTAATTCTCTTCTCGTTTCCACAATCACTTCACAACATAAGTCTCAACTTGAGCCGATGCTCAACAATGGTCAATTACCAAGAATACTTTCATAAGCCCTTGCTCAACATTTATAATCATCATATTAAGCATGGACAATACATAACGGAGTCACAATAATCATAGTACAAGACTCACGGGCATTCTTGACACCAACGTATAGATACTCGTCACCACACCTATACATCGTACTCAACACTTAACACATAGCAAATAATACCACAACTCCTATTCCCTCAAGCTAAGGTTAGACCAAAGATTTACCTCAATGCCACGAACACAATCAAGCATCAACTACCGCTTTACCTCTCGATTTCACTTCCAATTCGCTTGTATCTAGTCACAATTTACTTAATAACATTAATAAATGCTAAATAAACCAATTCTAATGCATGAAAATAGGTTTCCCAATATTTTCCCCAAAAAGTCAAAACCCGACTCCGGGCCCACTTGGTCAAAATCCGAAGTTCGAACCAAAACCCTGTCACACCTCCTTTTTACTACCCCCGAAGGGGTATAAGGGAGTTTTTTCCAATTTAAGTGACAATCGAAACGAGATTATTTATTTAAAAATCAGTCTCCACTTGAGCTAATTTATGGTGTCCCAAGTCACCGGTTTAAAATCCCGAATCGAGGAAGTTTGACTCTAATTACGGTCTGCGAACACAGAAATTCGGGTAAGGAATTCTATTAACTCGGGAGAAGGTGTTAGGCATTCCCGGGTTTCGTGATTTTAGCACGGTCGCTTTGATCATACTTGGCTTATTAAATTGTTTAACTACTCATTTTAGAACCTATGTGCTTTCACCTCTTTTAATTAAAAAATGATCCTAAAACGAGTCACGCGTACGTGTACTCATTTCGTTTGGCGCGTAAAAAAATCATGTCACGCGTACGTGTCCACAATTCATCACACTTTATTATTATTAAGAAATTTTGATCGAAGTTGCGCGAACGCATACCCCGATTTTTAAGGATCCTAATTATGTCACGCGAACATGTACATAATCACGATAACAAATTAAAGCGCGCCTAAAAGTATACTAGATGTTCATTATTCTTCTCAAACTTTGAGACTATTGTAAATCATGCATTATAGAATTAGACTAACAATTAAATCATGAAGACTAAAAGTTAAGCTATAATCTAAATCCGGCAACTTCAACATAAAAATTGCACCATTATTCTAAACGAAATCATATATCATTTTCTCCCAGAAAATTCATACCATAGGAGATTTTCAAAACAATAAGGTCTATTATTCAGTTGAACTTTTTTTTTTAAAACTGTAAAAAAAACATATGATATTTAACATACTACTATTATAACATTCAAGCAAAATGACGAACATATTTGAAAGGAAAGGTCAACATGAATAAAGCGATCCTCATTTTGACATGAATCAATATCAAACAAGAAGGGTAATGCAGAGATAACTGAACTAAAATTAGATTAACATATAACAAAAAACCCAGAATGAGGATCTGTGGACTTGAGACCCATGTGCGTTACGACGATATACAAGCAATGAACGCACCTTTCAATCTCTGCATCAAACAGCCAGTTCAACAATGCATTTTACTCTTTGATAACTGCTCAAATACACGATAATCAATCAACGAACTCGCTCGGTGAAGCGGAATCTCGTCGGACTACACTCGAACCTCGACGGAACTCAACGGACCTCTAGCTATCCGTAAGCTCGGCGGCAAACAAACTGAAAACGAGCTACTGTAGCTGCTTTTCGCTGGTTATTGGGGTTGATTTTCGGGCAGATTTCACGGCTATTGCTGGGCGTTGATTTTGCTTAGGTTGACGAAGATGGAGCTGCTCTTTATTAGATTTAGTTTCCGTTCTTTCCTGGTCGCTCTCTATGTGTTTTCCGGGAAGCTGGGTGACGAAGAGGGACGGCTGGAGTTGTTTGTGCTGGTGGTGTTAGGCTGCTATGGAGGGCGACGGCGCAGCTGCTCTTCTCACGCTAGGGTCTGCTGTCTTTCTCTTCATGAAGAAGATGATAGCTCAAGGTTCATGGATGAGGGGTCACGAAGAAGAAGACGTTGAGGGGGAGGGGGGGTCGTTTGTGTTCTCAGCGGCGGATCTTGCTTAGGGGTCTGTATAGGTCTTAGAGTCTAGGGTATTTTCTTGTACGGTTGTTTAGGTTAATGGGTATGGTCCTAAGAATTACGGGCTTAGAAATTATAGGGTAAGTCCGAATATTAGGCTTAAAAATAGGTTGCTTGAGCCCAAATTTTATTCTTCCTCCGTGAACAAAACTAAAATACTACATCATTTATTAATTAATCCTATTTAAATAAAATAACTATTAAGATAAGACTAATCGTTAAAACAAACCTATTTTTTTGGTATTTTCAAATATCATATTAAAATAAAAATAAGGTACTATTTTTTGTATATTTTTTATTTAAATTTATGAAAGATACATAAACTAAAATATTTTTGAAATTTTTATTTTTTGTGACGAAATAAAGTAAAAGAGTCAAAATTAACTGAAAGAGCGATATTAGGCCTAAACTAAATATTTACATGCTAAAATATAAAAAATCTTGGGGAGGGTCAAAAATCACATGTCTACAAAACCGATCATCCATTCACCCACGAACTCAAATATATAATTTGTTTTGAAATCGGATCTCAAATTGAGGTCCAAATCCCCAAAATTTTGAAAATCCTAAGTTCTACCCAAAATCACCCAATTTCCCATGAAAAACCCTTGATTTTGAAATGAAATCATGTAAAAAGATGGATTAGATTGAAAGAAATGAGATAGAAATGACTTACAAATGATTTGGAGAAGAACCTTTCTTTGGAAAATCGCCCAAGAGAGTTTAGGGTTTGAAAGAGTTTGAAAAATGGGCGAAATTCCGTCAAAAATCTCATGTAGCAGGTCTTAGATGTCGCAATTGCGACCAGGGTTCGCAGTTGCGAACCCCTTTGGAATCCTGTCATCTTTGCAATTGCGAAGGAAATCATCGCATTTGCGATGGGCAGGCTTCGCAATTCCCACCCAGTGCTCGCATTTGCGAAAAGGGCCTGCCCAGGCTTGGTTCGTATTTGCCACACTAGGGTCGCAATTCCCAAACCTGAGCACCTCACATTTGCGAGGCCTGATTGCGAGATCAGACGCATGTTACACAGCTGCAACATACCAGCAATTTTCTTAAGTTTCACTCCGTAGCCTATCCAAAACTCACACGAGCCCTCGGGATTCCAAACCAATCATGCACGCAGATCTAAAAATAGCATACGGACTTGCTCGTGTGATCAAATCATCAAAATAACATCAACAACTACGAATTCAACCACAAATTCATAAAATTACTCAAGAACGATAAACTTTCCATTTTCTTAAGCCCGATTTATACCAAACGAACTCCGATTCTTACCAAATTCCACATATTCAACTTAATTATTATTTTAAACCTCTATCGAGCTCCGTAACCAAAATACGGGCCCGATACAATCAAATTCAAACATCTTTAAATTTCCATAAACTCTTATATTTTCAGTTAAACAATTTCTTTCAAAAATTTATTTCTCGGGCTTGGGACCTCGGAATTTAATTCCGGGAATACGCCCAAGTCCCGTATTTTTTTACAGACACTACGGGACCGTCAAATCAAGGGTCCGGATCCTTTTACCCAGAATGTTGACCAAAGTCAACTTTAATAAATTTTAATGGCCAATTCCTTTATTTTTCCAACATTTCACATAAAAGCTTTTGGGAAATGCGTCCGGACTGCGCACGCAAATTGAGGTGAGACAAAAAGAGGTTTTTAAGGCCTCAGGACACAGAATTGACTTCCAAAACGAGTGATAACCTTTTGGGTCATCACAGCTTTGTATTGCACTCTCACTTTCATAAAGTATTTTTCTTCTCAAGACTTAATAATCTTGCAAATTTTCTCCATCACCCTTTATATAGCATCACCTATAAACCTTTTTCCTATTTGGTTGAGGTAATGATTTACTTAGGGTAAAAGTTTATTCCAAAAGTAAACTTTTCGGTAAATTAGAATCCCATCTCAATGGGAAGATGCCGACACGTCCTTATGGACTTTCACGTGAATGCTGCTAGCGTCCAATTCCAAATTGGACTTTTGGTAAAATTACCAATCCCATTTCTTATGGGTTTGAAGTCAACTTTCACGTCAATCCAATTAAGAATTGGATTAATCAAATTAAGTTTTTCATTAATATATTATATGCATACTTTGTACAAATAAATATCAAATATATATATATATATATATATATATATATATATATATATATATTTCAATCAAGAGTTATAATTTAATTTTTCTATTCCAAAAATAGAAAACTTCAATTTGCTTACAATATTAATTATATCCTCCGTGCTAGCAAAGAATATAATAATATTTTATTTGGACTAATAACTACGTTTATTTGACTAATCAAATTACTTAATTTAATTATCAAATAATAAAGTAATTAATCCTTTAACAAAGATCAGAACACTCGTTAGTGTGCGACCCCATAGGTTCAATACTAAGCTGGTAGTAAATTGATCATATCATACTAATCAAGGTTGGCGTCTAGCAACACTCCTTAATGATCGGATAGCATGAAATATACAATTTACTCTCAAGAACCCGTAGAAGAATAATGTAGTAATTCCTTCTGTCCTTATAGCTCTGGGTTACCCTAGGATATGGTTCAACTGTCAAATCCTAATAGCCTACCAACTATGTGTTCATGTCAAATATGATCGATCATTGAATGACCTAAGAAACTCTTTTCTTCTTTCATTCAGTGACCCTGTCCAAGGTCTGAATTTGGTCGTTTATAATTCATGACAACATGGAGCTTAAACTTATTACCAAGAGTTGACAAATTTCATCTTGATAAATCACTAATTATACAAGTATTTAATCGTACCCAATATTATTTCAACTATCTCCCTTGGGCCATAGATGTCTAATATCATAGCACAATAAATAACTTATCAATTACTATGATGATCTCAGGTCAAAGGAAACTCTTACATCACATTCTTCAAGAGAATATCCTATTGACAGTTTATGGTAATTCTAACCATTAGGAATTATCCAACGAGTCGGTTCAATGATCATATCTCTATAAGCATCATCTATCTATGTGATTTAGTTGATGAGATCAACTAATCTTTATCCCATAAAGACAACCATATAAATATTGATCTAACCGGATTACTAATGTCCAAATTAATGATCCTACGATCAAGAACAAATTTAAATTAAATTATAAGAAACTTCACTCTTATTATCATGATCTCCATCACAATGTCAAGTCTAAAAATTTAATCAAGTACCTTATCAAATTAATCAAGCCATTAATAAAACGATAAAAGAATATTAAATGCCATATATATTTTTAAATCAAATAACGTTCAAAAAAATATGTTCAAATCATCAAATATGAGATTGGTTCTAGGGCATATCTACTATATCCCTAACACCTCGAACCGAAACCCCCCGGAGACCTCTTTTGAGTTTTCACTCAAACCCTTCACCACCTTGAGCAAAAATGTTATTCAATTAATGAATTTTCGGCAAGTTTATGGCTGCTTTTAGGATGTTTTTCAGGTCGTTTTTGGGATGGTTTTTGTGGTTGTTTTGGGGCTTTATTAATGGAGTTTTCTGGTCGGTTTCATGGTTGTTTTGGGTGGTGATTAGCTGCTGTTTTTTTGCTGTTTTAGCTGGATTTGGTTTTTGGGTCTGTTTGCAACTGATTTTAGCTGCGTTTTGGGGCTGATTTTCGGGATTGTTTTAGTTGTTTATTGACTGGGTTTGAGAGCTGTTTTGCTGGTGTTTCGGGGGTGTTTTAGGCTAGACTTTGTGGTGTAACAAAAGAGATGGAGGTGAAACCTATGGGTCTTTCATGGTGGAGAAGAAAGGAGTTAAGAAATGGATTTAAATTTGAAGGGAATGAAGATGCTTAGGAGAGAAGAACGTTTATGCTCCTCGTTCAGAAATGAAGGCTCGTCCCTTTTTTCCCGTGTTACCGTTTGCATATGGAGGGTGGGAGTGAATATGTGTGTGCGCAGACTTTGGGGAGAAAGAGAAATATTCTTTTGCCTAAACTGTGGGACTGAGTGGAGTAAGGTCAAAACAAAAGAGAGCATGTGTCCTCCAATAAAAATAAAATGTGAAATTGTAAAATTAAAATTGGGAAACAAAAATTCAGTCCATGTGTATGACGTGAGGGATTTGATAATGTGAATGGAAGGAATCTTTTTGAAATAGAAAGTTTGTTACCAAATTTTATTGTTTTGGAGGGGAAATACTTATCCATATCGGGTGTTTACATCAAACTATATTAACTCACTTTCACACTTCCTTTTTCACACACCACCCCGAAGGATAGTGTATAAGGGAGTTTTTCCACTTTAAGTGACGTTATTCGAAATGGGATTATTTATTTATCAGAGTCGCCACTTGGGATAGTTTATTTGGTGTCCCAAGTCACCGGTTTATTTTGAATCCCAAATCGAGGAAAATTTCGACTTTCCAGGTGAAGTCTGCGAACCAGAAATTCTGTTAACCCGAGGGAAGGTGTTAGGCACCCCCGGATTCCGTAGTTCTAGCACAGTCGCTTAAACTATCATAATTGGCCTATTACCTGATTTTAATACATGTTTCAAACCTATAGTGCAATTTTAGATTATTTACCGCTTTTATTTGATTTTAAGGAAAATTGCAACGTTATTAAAACACATCTCGAACCACGTCACATAAATGCACCCGTTGTTTTTGACATATTTTAACATCGTTGAGATTTGGATTTGGGTCACATAAATGTGCATCCGAGTTTAGGAAAGTAGATTATTAAAATACGCGCCTAAAGCGACTAACGTGTTGATAACTTTGCGGGAGGCCATGAAAATTTGCTAAATGGCACGTCCCGAGTTCTAAATATTTTAATGGAAGTAATTAAAGAGGGCCACGCAATTTGTGATTTTTATTTGGCGCGGCGCACCTCGATTTCAATTTTTAAAGGATATTCGACTAAAGCTTGAAGGGCCATGGACTATTGTGTTATCTAAGATGGCCCTCCTAAAATTATTCTAAGGGTTTTACCAATTGACTAAAGTCATAGGGATTGGTTTCAAGAGCTAAAATGGGTT